TTTTCCTTCTTGTCCCAAGCTACAAATCTTGTTTCTTTACTGCCCCTGCCAAATCTCTACTGAGCCTCTCTCCCCTATGCCGTCCCAGGCTGCCACCCTGGGCCCTCACGTGGAAGCACAGACGGCAACTGCGCTAGAGCCTTGCTTTCCCCTCAGCTGGCTGGCTCGGGAAGAGGGCGTTGGCTCGGGGGAACGGGTATGTCTTGTTTCTTGCTTATGTCACTTCATCCCAGTTAGTTCCTTACTGGTTATGGGACTTGGCTTTTGTTTCCCTCTCGTCTCCATGACAGAGCCCACAACTCCAGTGAAGGCCAAGGAGATGCCCAAGAGGAAGAAGAAACCCTATGGAAAGAAGAGTGAGTGATGTTTGGTTAGTGGCCTCCTGCTCACTCGCAGGCTGGGTGCAGTTAGAGGAACCCTGTCCATGTTCCATCAGAGCAGGAGAGAGAGGCCTTGTCTTGCTGTGGATGCCCTCAGTCAGCTGTGGGTTTGACTGCACAGTTTCATCCTTCCTAACTGCCCTGTTACCTGAAGGAGCAGAAAGCTGCTTGTATGGGAAGGGTCTGTTTTGCAGTCTGTTTTCTGTTGGCTGAGGTATACATGGCACTTGCTTCCAGGCATGAGGTTGTGCTGCTTTGCCCACTGTGTCCATGGTCAGAGGGAGATTGGTTGCTGCAGCTGGAGAATAGCTGGAGAGCAACCCTGCCTGCTTTGTGCTGAGGAAAAGAAGGCCTTAAGATGGCTGAAGAGGCCAGTAGTGGGGCTGAACAACGTTTCATCTTGTCGTTGTTGTCATTGTTGCAGTAGCTGTGGCAGATCATGTATAGAGAGGCAAGAAATTCCTTCCTGGGGGGTGGAGAGGAAAGGACATCTAAAGAATATAAAGATGTTCAACCTAAATAAAAACATCAGCTAAAAATGAAAGCATTAACGCTACGACATCCATGCCTTGCAGCCAACATGCCTATTGCCTAGAACTAGACCCAGACAGGTAAGCAAAGCTGTCTCCAGACTGATTCCAACAGGACCTGCTCCTTGGAAATTAAGCACACGCTGAAGTGTCTTGCCTTTAATGAAGCGGAACACAGGGGCATATTTTGAGATGATGACTACAGAGTTTTTCTCCAGTAGGCCATTGCTGTCATGTAACCAGTTGGCAGCTAATGACCGTGTAGTTTGCTGGTCATTTGTCCTGGTCCTTGGCCTGTGGTTTCTCAGTGGAGCAGGGTTGCTGATTTTGCAGGGGTAAAGAAACACACTTTTCCCTGTGCTGTGTTATCTCTTTGTTAAGGGAAAAAGTTATCTGCCAAAACCCGCAACATCAAGCAGGCTGTCAAGAAGCCTTCCACTCCGAAGATGAAACGAGAAGCAAAATCTGCCAGCAAGGCTTTGCCAGAGCCAGCACCTGATGAGAGTAAGGGATTGAGTTACTCTACCCAGCAGCCACATGCAACTGTCTTGTGTACACCTGGCATGCCACCCGCCCTCCCTCTTGGCCATTAAGTCATGGATTCCCTCAGGCAGGGAAAGACAATACCTGACAAATGTCCTTCCCTACTCCTCTGAAGACAGAGAGAGTGGAAGAAAGCCTTTGCTTGCTTTCCCTGGGAAGATTTGCCTCCTGAGGAGATTTGATGGCACCTGTACAGCTAGATGTCTTGATAGTGCTGATGCCTGCTGAGGGCCTGGCTGCCCTACTGAGCAGTCTGATTGTGTGAGGTCAGTTAGGGAGGAGAGACAAGATGGATGTGTCAAAGCCATGCTGTCACATCCCAGTCCCCATAAGGGCTGTCACTGCATGCGAGCACAGCCCATCATGCTGAGCATCAAGAGATGTAGTGACCAGAACAGATCCTGGCAGCTGGGTCACCTGCCACCCCTAGTGGGTGTTAGGGAAAAGGGTGGGTGAGGTGCTTTGTGCACATGGGGATGAACCCTCATGAAGATCCCTGTTGCTCGCAGAGGTTTAATTTCCCCTGTGTGGACCCAGACAGGTAGAGAATGGACCATACTGGCTTCTCCTCCCTTGGCCCTGGGAGAAGTTGTACTTGGGAGTGGGCAGCTGAATGCTGCCAGGGTTTAGTCCCATCCTGGTTGCTGCTGTGACCATGGATAAGTTTGTGCTGGCAAGACGGGGCTGCATGTGGTAAGCGACTCTCAAAAAGTGAGCTAGAAGCCTGGAGCCTTTTGAGTATCTGCATTAAAAGAGCCGGTTCTGGGCTGCCCCAGGTGAAGTGAGGCCGCATGGATTGATTTTACTTATTTGTTTTCCCCTCTCTCTTTCTGTCTCTTGCTAGTCATCGTCGTGCAGGTGAAAGAAGAAACCGTCAGCCCCTCAGAAGCAGAATTTGAAGCCACAGAGCTTCCCGTTCCCATCAGCAGCATAAAGGAGGAGGTCACAGACTGATCCTGGAGTAGCCCCCAGCTGCCCATAGCAGCCTGCACTTCACGCTGTGGCTCTTTGGGGAAGGTCCTGGCAAAGGGAAGCAGAAGGCTTCCGCTTTTGAGGCAGACCACCCTGCAGTGTCACAACTCTGCTTTCTTGGCGTGCAAGAAAATTTCCCTCAGACTTGTAATTTTAAGCCCTGGGAAACAGACTCCAGAAAGACCGCAGGCACACTGAGGAGCGTGACTGGGGTGGCTGCTGGGGTTGTGCGTGCCTGGTTTTGAAGGCACCTTTCTGAGCAGAAGCTCCCAACGGGGAAGGAGTCTGCCAGAGCACGCAGGGGCAGTTTGTGTTCTCGGCTGTGGCTGGAGGTGGTGAGCTGTAGTCCGAGATGATGTTTGCAGGTCACATGCGTCAGGAAATCAGCTGCCCTCATAGGACATCATTCCTGTGCTCCCTAGTCTAGGCCCTGCAAGCCCTGAGAAAGTCAGGACAGGAAGAGTGGGAAGAGGTGGAAAAAAACCCCGAACCAAAACCAGAAAGGGATGATGATGCCTCTTGAGGGAGTGAGAGACCTTTCTGCGTGTCATCATTTCTTGCTTTTGAACTCAGAACTGCAGAGGACGTGGTGCACAATTTGAATTTTTAATTTTTTAGCAGTCCTATTGTAAATTTGATCTTCGACCTGTACCCTAAAGCCCTCTGAATTAAACTTGACTAGGAGGCCAAAGGCTTGTGTATTGTTTTCTGGGTCACCAAAATACCGGGCTTAGCCAAGATGGGCGAAGAAGAGGGCTCCAAGTGGGTTTTTATAAGTAAACAAGTGTTTTGGGTGTTTTTTTGAGGCAAGTGATAGGGTTTTTCTCTGTACTCACCCCTACTTGCCAGTTCTGTGTAAGGGCCAAATATCACAAGAATACCTTAGGTAATTAAGGCAGGGGATGCCATTTCCAGTTTTAGGGCAAAACTGTAACATTCCTCTCTTTCCCCAGACTGGTCATCAAAGTTCAGGACAGAAATTGGAAAGGTCACTATGGCAACAGTGATGAAAACCAGTTTTAAACCCCCCATAGCAAGTTTCTGTGAACTTTCTGCGGGTGAGGAGGTGCCCTACTCTCAGCACCACTGCAGGGCCTGTGTAGGGCAAGTGCCTTGTCAAACCCTACGGGGAAATGGTGGCTGCCCAGGACACTGTCTTGGCCACGAAATGGCTGCCTTGGCCATGCTCCCCTCAAGCTTCCAGGCGAGAGCTTGTGATGCCAAAATAGTTCCTGCTTTGCATAGTGGTTCATGACACAAAAAAAAAAAAAAAAAAAGTTGGCTAGTTTACCACCTAGAAAGCACTGGGTAGAGACTGGGAGTGATTAACGCACTCTTCCTCTTTTCCCTTCTAAAAAGGCAAACGGAGCCTTTAACTGGAGAGGGAAGAAAAGGCCATGAGGGAGTAACGAAACACAAGTGGAAAAAGCGTGGAGGCTCTGTGTCACAGAGGGTGTGAGAGCTGTGCCGTCTCAGCCCAACCTGTCCCTAACTGACCCCAGCGAGGGCCCTGGGCTCCTGGGGAAGCTGTGATGGGGTGAGCATGGTAGGGATGTGGGATTTTTATCGAAGGCACGTAATAGGGCTTCCCTGCCTGTGCCTGCGTGCCTGTCCGGGCAGCTCTGCCTAGCACCAGCTTGCAAGAGATGTCGTAATGCAGAAGGATCTCTTTTTAGGGCAAAGCCACTGAGTTTCTCTCTTCCTCTCCCTCTTGGGCAGCCACCTTTCCCCAGCCTTGTCAAACAGCCAGGCTTGTGGGGCCACCTGTGTTTATAGGATGATAATCTCCAAACGCCTTTGCCTTTCTTCCTCCTGTTTTTTGCTGTAGCAGTTTCATGACCCTCATGGTCATTTGATGGCTAGAAATGTTTATCTTTTAAAGTCTTCCCAATTTGAACAAACTTCTGACTTCAAAATGGGGCTGGAGGAGGTCCCAACCTGGGCTGCCATGGGGAATAGGTTGGGCACATCGCTTAATGATGGACTCACTTATGGAATTGGTGGTCTCATTCCATTGATGGGACCACTGACCAAATTTTGCAGAGAATAGAAAGGTTTCAATCTGTTTATGTTTTTATTCTGCGGAGCTGCTGAAAATTAAGACAATGTTTTCACTGATGATAGAATTTTTAAGTTTTCTGCTTTAAGATTTGAGCCAGTGCAGGATCTTGCGTTGCTGCTGTTGCAGTCCTGCTCAGGGCTCTTTAATCATTGCTGGAGCTGTGAAAGTATAGCGCTCTTAAAAACCAAAACAAACTTGTGGGTTCCAGCTTTTCCACATGGCTGGAGAGAGCCTTGGGAAGAAAAAGCAAGTATTTGGCTGTGCTGTTCAAGTCATCAAAGCGTGTTGCAAACACTATGGAAGCTTTTTGCACCAGTTCTTTCCAGGGTAACGTGCCTCCGTGTCCTGCAAAACCAAACCCTCCATCTTTGGCAAATCAGCATCACTTTGGTGGCACCAGCCTCTCTCCTTTGCACCTTGTGCAATATCTGTGTCGCTGCAGTGGGGACAAGTCTAGCAAAACCACTCTCACCAAACTGTAGGTACAGCCATGTTGTGTCCTGTGTGCGCTTCCTAAGCTCTGCTCTTCTTGAAGCCTCTGGCTGGTGATTTTCCTGATCTCTTTTTCTTGCTGGGCTTGCGTGCAGCCTTGGCCTTGTCAGGACTGGCTGCCCTGGCCTCACCTCGGCCCCAGCCAGGGCAGGTTTGGAAAGTGGTGGAAAGCTTCACCTTCAGCCCTCGGGCTTCTGCAGGAGACCCACAGGTGGCCCCTGTGCGGAGATTGAGTTTGTCGATCCACCTGGAAACATGGGAGGAGATCAGGGAAAGAAAGACGATGGGGCAAAAGGAGAGGCAAAACTCCATTCCCATGAGTGGGTGCGAGTGGCTTTAAAGCCAGGCCGGGTTGTTCACGGTCTCACCTGAGTGACC